GCCACGAAATCTGCACTTCATCCCCGACACCCGCGCCTGCCACGAAATCAATATTTTAAGGTGAACTCCCCGGTGCAAAACTTTCTAACCAAGCAAAGATGCCTCCTCTATCTATCTATCTATCTAATCTAATCTAATCTAATCTAATCTAATCTATCTATCTATCTATCTATCAATTTATCTTTCTATCTTTCTGCAGTTCAACATCCACAAAGTACTGCACCTGCCACGAATCTGCACTTCAAGGTCCACAAAGTCTTGCGCCTGCCACGAAATCTGCACTCCAAGGCCCACAAAGTCCTGCACCTGCCACCAACTCGACTCTACACTTCCACACCCACAAAGTCCTGCATCTGCCACGAAATCTGCACTTCAAGGTCCACAAAGTCCTGCGCCTGCCACAAAATCTGCACTCCAAGGGCCACAAAGTACTACACCTGCCACGAAATCTGCACTTCAAGGCCCACAAAAAGTCCTGCGCCTGCCACAAACTCTGCACTCCAAGGCCCACAAAGTCCTGCACCTGCCACGAAATGTGCTTTGCAAGGTCCACAAAGTACTGCACCTGCCACGAAACACGAAAAACAAAAAAAATTCCAAAAAAAAAAAACGAAAAAAAATCCAGAAATATATTCGCAACCGTTCTTTTTAAGGCGTATCAATCTGCAACACCAACAAGAGTTGGTTTCGAACAGAGCGATGGGGTTTCCGTACCACGGCCCTGAAGAGGACATTCTCCTTGATTTTTCCTGGGTTTCACACACCTTGAAATGATATGTTTAAAGCGCTAAGCACAAACGGTTACTGAATAGATTGGCAATGAACAAAATCACACAATGGTCTTGAATGAAAACAATCTTGACGCTTTGCCAAAATTGTCTAGTTGCTACACTGAACCAAATCTCCGCAATGGACATGACGTCCCAGGACATGAACATCCATGGCTCGGCCTTTTGATGCTAGGCCAGGCATGGTTCTCAAAGTGTGCTGTCGGATTCTTTCTTGTGCTTTTCGTTTTGAGAACTGCGGGTTTTTTCGTTGGAGTCATCAGGTCTGTACCTTCGAGGTTTGCTGACTAAACACTTGCCAGAATCATGCATTTGAACGGTGGGTGACATTTCCGAACCGTATATATATATATATAATATAATTTCAAGTTAACCTTCAGAACGAAAGGTTCGATTGATATGTTGCCAAGGGTAGTGACATATTCATCTTGCGGTCCCCAAATAGATGCAACAGATTTCCAAAAGCCCTCTAAAATACCGGGATGTGCTAATTCATTCATTGCGGCGGACATGAGTTACTAGACTTTTGATTCGGTGGTTGAACAAAGGTGTCGGTTTGGCAGAACTGCCTGACTTGCAGGTGTCGGTCTCCAATCACAGCAGAGGACACCGCGGGTTTGCGGGTTCCGCACAGGGCAAGTTGGGGCAACAAGGGAGGCAGAAAAAGGAGTTGATGGAGGAACTGGTTGGGTGCTGGCAGTCTATAGGAATGAGTTGTGGCACTCAGAGTCTTGCCCCATGTGGCCATTCCAAGAAGCTTGGCATGTCTCCGGTTGAGAATGAGGGAGTGTATTAGAAGGAGTGACTTTGGTTGCCTGGTTGCGGGTTCCTTTTCTTTTCGGTAAGACAGATATATATTCAGTTTATGACAAGCTTCTTCAGCAATTGTCTACGGCCCTTACCACTGCAGATGGGGTTAGGGACCAGGGACCCGATGAAAGAGTTTCAGGCCAAGGATGCCTCGTAGAGAATCAGGTCGATGCTTCGTGTGCGTTTTGGCTTTCACAAACTGAAGGCTTCGATAACTGGGCAACTCAAGATTTGCAAGTGATGAGAAGTGAATCAGCAGGTCTATAAAGGAAGCTAATTACTAGTAGCTATTTGCTACTAGTAGCGATGCACTTGTTACTAGTAGCGATGCACTTGCTCCTAAATCAAATGGATTTCGACTTACCCGGACCTGGAACAGGAGATGAACGAATCACCTTGATGATAGGTAGAAACATTTTCGTCTCTGATGGAAGTCTGCTGGGAGGAAGTGGAAAGTCTGCTAGATCTGGAACGCTCTCCAGGCAGTGCAGTCGGGGATTGACGACATGAGATTGTACTTGCAGAGTTGATGGAGCTTTAATAGGATTGACGACACGGCATAGGGTGGTGCTGGCGGTACGCTCTTTTGCTTGCTGCCCGCTGGCACCGCCACACACACACAGCCGGCTGGGTTTCCCCAGGCGGCTGCGGCTGGGTCACCATTCGTGATGCTGAGCATTTGCAAGTGGAGATCAGCACAGGCCTCCAACTGGGACGAAACGCACAGGCCAAGATACTTTGGTTTCAACAAGCTTTGTTCTACGAGCGTACCTTCAAGCTGTTCTGTTTAATTGGTCTTTGATCCAGCTGGGGTTGCCGAGAGTCCGATCGTGAAACAGTAAAAATGCCAAGCTTTGAAGGCCATGATGCCTTGGTACTGCGGAGCTTTTTGGTGTTACCAAGTTGGAGCCTCAATACAAAAGTGATGAAGATGGTACTGGTGACCTCTTGCTGGTCTCCAAGCCATCTTTGAGGTGCAGTCCAAGAGCAAATGCGTCATGAATAGACTGGAAGTCTCGACTTCATTGAAATCCTTGCTCGTGGATGGATGAAGTGTTGCCTAGTTTCATGCATGGACTTTCTCTAGTACATTACAGAGCTGGATTCGGATTTCATTGTGTTTCTTTTGATTGGGCTAACGTAGTCCTTGGGTTGTTCTTTATCGATTCCTAGATTGTTTGTTTGCCTCCCAAGCTACATGTGTAGTTCACTTTAGCCAGAGTTCGATGCAGATGCTTTCGCAGTACTGCATGCTATTCTTGGGCTTCTTTTTAGAGAACCAGCTATTGAGATGGTTTTGACGGAGGCACTCCACCAGAGACAGCGACCAAGCTGCTTTTCGACCCTGGTCAGAGGCGAGCTGTGATACTCTTCGCGTCACACAATTGATAGACCTTGAGTCTGGGGCTTTCGATGTGACACGCGGCGTGCAAAGCCTGGAAAGCCTGGTGTGCCAAGACCGTCGCTTCAGGCTGCGGTGGGACCATGCTCTCGAACAGTTTGAAGAGGTGTCGCGGGTTGGTCAGCAGTCCTGATGTGGTTTGTCAGCATCTGGATACTGATTCTTGTGTTACACAGTCTGGAGCCTTGTCCATGTCTTTCATCGATACATGTCTTTCCCAACGACGATTGACACTCACTCAACTGGACGATTTAGCAGGTATCGCCTGCAAGTTCCTCAGAGCAGATTGTGCATCTGCGAACCTGCCCCAGGTCAGGTTCCAAGTGGATGGCAGGGACAGAACGGACATCACTTTAGTCCATCGACCTGCGACTTGTGCCTCTTTCTTTGTGCTTCATGTCTACCGACTTCGGACATTCCTGCAAGGATAGAATCGCACTTGGCCGAGGTTTGGCATCATTCCACCCTGCGATGTCCTCCACCGACGCCGGATGCTTCGCCCCTGCGGCGACGCACATGCTGCGTGGGTCTGCAGAGACGTCGCGTGACCCAGAGACGTGCAGTTTTGAACGGTGTGGGCAGAGGGTGTCAGCTTTTTGCTGGGGTTGATGAGGTTTCTTTTTGAGGCACCCAACATGTCAAAAGAAACAGGTATCAAGTCCCGGTTCGGTGGATGAAGGACATGGGATGACGGCAAATCTGGTCGTTGGGTTGAAGGTAGCCAGCGATTTTCTTTCGTGTGTTTCATGAACAGTGCACAGACTCTGAATCAGGAGACCCTGTACAAAAACATAAGTGTAAAAGCTGATATGTTCAGTGGAAATGTCTCAGCCCAGTTGCCAGTGTTGGCCTTTGTGTACTTGGTCGACCAGTATGGTGATATGTGCGACCAAGCCCCAGCCTGACCAGATGGGAGAAGCGACCAATTGGTCAGGGATTGCTCCTAGTAGTGATGCCAGGAGCCCCTAATAGGGTCCCTGCTCCTAGTAGTATGGCCAGGAGCCCTTAGTAGCTTCTTGCTCCTAGTAGCGATGCCCGGTTCTTCTTGTATAGATTCATCATGTTCGCTCAGTTGTTGTCCTTGAAGAGCGAACATGGTGCGCTCATGGTGCGCAAGCTGGGAGCAGGTGGTGCCCCAGTCGTGGGGCAAAAGTTCAATCACCTTCCGACCATGCGAAGGTGTTGAGCCCACGACATCGACATAGCCCAGACGTCTTTTTCGCTGCTGGCCACCAAGGCTGATGAGCTCCCTCTGTCCCTGGTGAAGGTGTCGCTTGACATGCGGCTGGGCGAAGAATCTATGCATGAAGCCATATGGATGAAATGAGTTGGGAGCATGAGAATGGGGGCTCTCTCACTTGGGCTTCTGGCTTGGTTTTTCTTCCAATGCCTTGTTTCTTACTTTTCTTCTCCGTGAACGGCAGGTGCTTTTCCAGTGAATGGCCTGGGTGCCCGCTCTTGTGCTTAGCTCCTTGCCCAGGTGCTTTCGTTTGGAGAGTGCTGTGCTGGGACACGTGGTGCGATGTGACAAGGAGATGGGACGCCATGGGTTGGTTGTAGGGCCCAGTGAAGGCGTCTTCGGTCGAATTGAGCACAGGATCATGGGGGGCACTGGGGGCACTTGGCGTGTCCAGGGCTCATCTCCACCCTTTTTTTTAGAGTGAAGAACTTTGCTCGTCGCCATTTATATACATTCCCGAAAACTAACATAGACCCTGACAATGGCCCCCTTGAAGATGGTTTTCCTCTACCAACCAGTGGTTTTCAGGGTTCATGTAAGTCTTCCAGGGTGTAAGCCATTTGCAGCGTCAGAAGTCATTGGCCCCTCTGCCTCATCTTGAGACTTCGCCGCATGTAGACCATGGTCACCTGATTATGGCGCCGGTGACAAGTCTGGCCGAAACATGTCCAGACGACTCTCAAGTGATGTTCGATCGGGCTTCTCTGGCAGGATGGCTGTAGAGTCTTCACATACGTGCAGATGGAGGCAGAGCGGAGGGTGAACCTGCTCTTTCCGACCTCTGACTGACACCGTATGGTTGGGGTACAATGGTAAGAGCTTGGGCAGATCTGAGCTGATTATCATGGACATGCCTAAATCTGTTGGAGGCAGGATGTTGAACCCTTTGTCCTTACAAAGATGGCTCCAGCAAAAGTGTGTTTGGAAGAGGTGGGTGGCCAAAGGATCACACATGCCCGCAACCAAATTTGCAATCTTTTTGACATGTGGCTTTGTTGCAGGCGACTCCTCTGGTAAGCTTCTTTGGTCAACGTCTGGCTCCTGACATTATTGGAGGCAACGGCCTCAAAATGAGACAATTGACCGGGCTGGATTGTTTTTGATCCCACTGACCTCCGCATTTGACGGCAAAGGCAAGGGGCAAGCCCTTTAAACAATGAGCACTAAGTCAAACCCTTTAAACTTGCGAGAATCCTCCCTGTGAAGCTGTGAGAGACTTTCTTTGTGAGACGGGCGAATCGGTGTTTCAGTGGTTCATCGGGTGTTTCGTCTCGTGTTCTGCCTCAGGCCTGTGCAACACGTTTTCCAGCGCATGCAAGGCGGAACGGTGCTGTGGAGAGCCATGGACGCCTTGGAGACCGGTGAAATTCTTGGTATACATACTTTTTCTTTATTCGATTTTTTTTTCGAAAAAAGTAGCCAGGAGCCAGGGGGTGGGGTAGGCCGAGGATAGAGGAAGAGGTAGCTAGGATGTAGCTATTAAGTAGGAAGCGATCCTACACATGGATGCAGGATCGCTCACGCTCGCACTATTCGTTTGGTTCCTAGATTTTTAGGGACACTTACTTCCTCAAAGGAAATCAAACAACGAGAAAGAGAGGTGCAAGGTCCAACAGCTCTCTTCATGACGGAGTCATGCGTGCAGGAGCACGGGGTCGCCCACAAAGAGGGTGAGTTCTCGGAGAAAGGCAGTTCCGTCAGTGATGTGAAGGTTACGGATGTTCTTCGGCGACAGTCTTGCTTGACACTTAAACTTTTTCCAGTAACTGTTTCGTTGGCAAACTGGAAGCGACTGGAAGCTGCAGGATCCAAAGACTTTTGTGGAAAAACTGACCTTGGACTTGGCTCAATACTAATAGTGCCACTCGTCGTTTGGGACTGGGTGGCGCAGATGAGCTCCCCCAGTGGCCCCTGTGTTTGCGCTTTCTTGGCAGAACCTTTGATTCCAGGCCACTTCCCCACGGAGTTCTATGTTCTCATCGGCCTGTTTAATGCCTGAAGGAGGTATTTTCACGGGCTGAGGCACTTGGTGTCAAAGAAATCGGTGGACTGGCAGAGTGCCCAGCCAAATGACGAATTCAGAAAACTTGTGTACTTTGCGTACTGAACATTGTGCATATCATACTTTGTGGGTGGTCATTTGGGCCCCAACATTCCAATGTTAACGTTCTTGTTGAACTATTTTGGTGAATATGATTTGACCGCGATAGCAAAAAAGCAGACATGGAATGTCGATCATAATTTTGAGGAGCTGTAGATTCGGCAAGCTTTTCTGGCCATCGCAGAGATTGAATGCAACGGCATTCCAAAGAGTCTCAATCCTTGGTGATGCTTCCTAGCAGCGTGCTAGCACACTTTTCTTGGCACATGACAGGATTTGACTCGCGACGATGAGACAGGCATGGACGGAGTGACAGAGTTTTGAGTTGCTTTTCTTGGCCCTGACAAGGAGCCTGGAGGGCACCCAAGGCTTTTCTTGTTTCAGTATCAGGATGAAACTTGTGGAATGGGAGCGACCTGGTAACCTGGTCGATGTGATGCGGAGTGAAAACATTGCTTGCTTCCCCAGGGAACCAAGACCTTGAGAAGTCTTGCTGCTTGTATTTGGACATAGAAACCACCGAACTTGAACTGGAGGGTGGGGCTCGTGGTTCAGGGTCTGCCTCTCCTGCCGCTTCAGCTGAAGCCGACGCTTTGGATCAGGACAAGGTGTGTCCGCCGATACGCAGAGTTGAGAGGGATAAAGGGCCACTCGGTCGTGTAAAGCGAATCTTGACAGCACAAAAGTAGCTTGATTGGCAGGTCAATGTTCTTCTTTTTGGCTAATCACTGCCCTCTAGTGATTTCAGATCAGTGGTGGTGTGGGTTTGCATCCATGCATTCCAATCATGGCGATTCCAACAACTCGGATGTTGGAGGAAGCACACAAACCCACCCAGCAGAGCCCCAACCAACTCAGCCGAGCCCGGTTTTGGCAGTTCACCGTCTCTTCCGCCGGGGGCGGTCAGGAGATGAAACGTCTCTCCTTGGGTTTGGACTTCCTGGGGGCGGTGGATCACAAGAAGCTGGTGCCTGCTGTGTCCGCCTTCCGGCGGATGTTGAAGAGGCCAAGATGGGGGAGACGGGGAGAGATGTCTTCTCACCCAGGCGGACATGGAGACCTGAAAACGATAGACATGGACACCAGGATCTCTCAGCCGGGCCTAAGGACTTCAGAGATACAGCCAGGGTGGGTTTGATGATGATGCACCAATGCAGAGGATTTGTTTGGGGTGTAGACATTCGAGAGACGAATATGCCTGACTGCCCTCTGACAGAGGTTGGATCATGAGAGAGAAATCCACTCAAACCACGCAAAGATGGTGCGATCTACCATGGCATTTTCATGATCCAGCAGCGGAGGCTCCAATTTGGTCAACATGGTTATCATGTTTGAACACCAGAACGTACTCCTGATGCTTTCTTTCGTGAAGCAGGATGTACTGGATGAAGATGACTCTTTCAGAGTGTTTGTCTTATTCTCAAGCACTACAAACTGAGATGGGCCAGCATACTCACCAACTACCACTGCAATTGGCATCCGCAGCCAGATGCCAACTTCAGTTCTGCTAAACTGGTGTTTTCTGCTGTTGGTGGTACTTGGTGGGTAATTGGCATTCGCTTTCCTGCAAGAGTCAGGAAGCGGGGGGGGGAATGAAAACTACCCACTGGTACTGGTTGGGAGCGTTTTGATTTGCTTTTGGCGCTGAACTCGTTTCCTGCCCTAACCATGTGTGAATTGAACCACCACTGTGCTGACATCAATTTGGGAAACACCTTTAAACCAGCGGCATATGTTGCTCCCAGGATGGTCTTAATTAAGGCCATCCTGGGAGCAACATCTTGGCACTTGGCTCGATAGCCAGTAGTGGAATGTGTCTTGGGTATACTTCGAATAGTTGGACGCTACTAGGGGCTCCGGGCCTTACTACTAGTAACAAGAAGACACGAACGGAGCAAAGGGCATAGTTGCACCCGTGGCAACCAACCACACGGCCCCTGTGGCCAATGAAAGCTCGAAGAAAGCGCCACCCGTGTTGCGGCGCTTTCCTCGTCACTGACTCGCGCAGACAAACACCGAGTCATTGGGCCCCTGACGTCGAGTTCATCTACGTCGAGCTCATGCTGCCAGCAACGGCATGTCAACGGCATGTCAACGGCCCCTGCAAAGCACTTGGTCGGCGACACTGAGGAGAATGAGAGGGACACTGACGTGTTCGTCTGCGCCTTCGGGGCCAAGCCAATCAATGGCCCAGACGTGAACCAGGATGAGAAATTGGCAAGTGAGTGAGTGCATGTAGCAAAGAGCAGCCTATGGACACATGTATCGCCCAGGCAAGTTGCTCGTGGTCAGAGGGCATCCCGTGTTGGACATGCTTGCTGGTCCGAGGTATCCAATCGTAAAGTGTAGACTGGTAAGAGTGCATTTGTTGTTTACCTTGAAGCATCTTCATTTTCCCGATAGATGGTGTGTCAAGCTTTGCTATGCTTTGCTTAGTTTTTGTCCGACGAACAGCAGGCATTGGATTCATCTCCTGTGCGAAAATGGTTCGTTGGTTGCTTTCTTCCATCTCCACCTGTTTGGGGTTGAATTCGTCCCATGAAGCATTCGTTTGGCAATAGAACTTTGAGCCAGCCACAGACAGAGCGCCACCTCAAGAGGATATACCGCAGGCATGCATCAGAGCTAGTCAGATTGGCTGGGATCAGCCACGATGATGTCGTGACGACCCTGAACCATGAAGCAGACGAAACAAAGATGGGGTTCGCAGGTTCGCATGAAGAGGGCGATGTGTGAAGAACATGCACATGCTGAGGAACTTGTTTCAGACCAACCACATCAGCATTGAACGGAACATTGATACTCACGAGAAAAACTCCATGCTCTTTCCCTCTCTCTCTCTCTCTTTTCCCAGTTTCTCGGATTGCCACCATCCTGTATAGCGGAACCCTGCGAACCCCCACGGCCCACCGCGAGGTCGTCCCGAACTGCTGCTCGGCGAAAGGACACCCGACTGTGCAGTGGACAGGCTTGTATTGACTGTTAGTGGACTCCTCAAGTATGGGATCACTGGCCAGGACCAGTTTCTAAGTATGCTCGGTCGCATATGCACAAGCACCTGTCGCACCAGCATCACCCTGCTTGTGCACTTTCGTGGACGAAGGGAAATAGGAAGGAGGATCGTCGCTCATCGGAAGGAGAACTTGGCCGAGTCCTCCAAGGTTGAGCTGCCAGCTTCGTTTCTCTTTCCCGAGCTGAAACGGCTTTTCTTTTTCTGCTTATTTGGATATATATATATATAGCTTCTGCATTGATAGAACAAGGGCCTGTTTGCTTTAGACTCTTGTAGGACCCATATTGCTTACAATTGTGGAATTGGCCATGAACCAGCTAGGTGCGCCATGAGCACGCAAGACCAGTACCAGGTGGCGAGATCCTCTGTTGACGTTGAAAGGATGTATGTCATCATGATCTATGAGTTTGATCTGCAAAGCTCTTATTCTGAGACTCTTGCATCAAAGGTGCCAAGCCAGGCCGAGCTCAAATCTAGGTACATTATATAATATATAGTAGTAGCTAGTTGGCAGCAAGCGGCAAATCCCAAATGTCTTCTGCCCGTGCTTCTTTAAATAATGCCAGTCAGAAAACAACCACCCTGCACCGCGAGGAGTTTAATGCCTGTTGTTGGCCCAAATTGAAAGTGTCAACTCCGAAGCATGAGCCTCAAATCCTTTGACAAGTATCTTCAGTTGCCGAACTTCAGGGTCTCAGATCTCTGATAGCTGCTGAAGCCCCGCAGAATTGAAACCCAACCGAGCTTTTTGAGACATTTTTTGCCAGGGGAAGAAGAGGAATCCACCAGGCGGGAAGCGGAGCCTGACAGAATGAGAGAGGTGAACCATTCTCCAGGTCCAAATTTGCAACCGATCATTCTGGGACTTCAGGAAGGATTAGATTAGATTAGATGAGAACGCATGTTCTGGCTGGTTTTTGGTCGACCACCTTGTGCAAACGGATAAATTTATATAGCTAACAACCCGTCTTCCTAGATCTATCGATTGGTTTTCTCGGGAGGCTGTTGCTGGGGTTGACTTGGAAAAGCTGGCAAAGCTCTTCCACCTCATGTGGTCCTGAATCTCTGAGGTCTGTGAAAAAGTATTCAGTCCCCATAGCCACCTAAAGACTAATAGACATGATGAAGACATGAGCATTCCCGTTCTCTTGGTATGCCAGAAACCAGCACCGATGGTCAAAGGCGACGGCGGAGCAGTGCCCGTGTTTCCTGGCTGGATTTAGTACATGAGATCATGAGACCATTGAACGACGGTGATTTTCAAGGGTCTTATTGAGTTTGAAGTGGGTGGATGAAGCATGGCGCCATGCCGTTTAGGTGTTTAGCCCAAACTTCTCAACGAGATCATATCTGCCGAATGGGTTGCTAGTGGCATGGATGGCTCAGGAAAAAAGCCGAGAGAGGCAAAGAGGCTCCATGGCAGGGCTCTCAATTATGACACAGTTAAGCCAGTCTTTGTTTTCTCATCTACGTCACCTATGAAAAACCAGCTCTAGACCGTAGTTTTCAAGAAAATTTCATGGCATACAGTCTGATGAGGAAGTGGTCGCCGAGCGCCTGGGCGAGGTCGTCCGATCCCGCAGGAGCTCGTGCCCCGGTGCGGTGGCCACACCGTGTGGTGTGGAGAGTTAGATCCAGTAGTACCGGATTTGACCCGTGGTCACAACAGAGTGATCGAAGTCTTTTTGATAGGAGTGCAGAGTTTATGGTTTAGTCCTTTCTAGCAAGCTCTGCATGTGGTTTTTGTGCTAGTCACTGCCATGCAATAAGAGGATGTCTCTCTTTAGATCAACCGGCTTCCCCTCTTCACATGACTTCGCACTTCCTGTTTACTCTTTTCGCAGTCAGCAGGAGTAGCCAGCAGGAGAAAACTACAGTTGATGTACACACTTAGAGTGGAAATGATTGGAATCCCCTTGTCCTTGGGTTCATGGTGGATTGGGTATCCCATTTGCGTTGCGTTGTGTGCGATTCTGTCACCTGACAGCATGATGTTCTGTTGGTGTCAAGCTGCTGCGTGGGGAGGACTGGTCGAGACTCTGCCTTGGCAGCCGAGACTCCCAGAGCAAGCAGTTCGGTCATGTTTCTTTTGGACACCGAACCTGGAACTTCTGCGTGCCATCGGACAGTGCCATCGGACAGGGAACTTCTTCGTTTGGACTTGACCGACTGAACACTCGAGCGACTGAACACTCAGTCGGTATCAGTCCATGAGTCGTTGGACGTCGTGGACATCAATCGCCTGTCGCCGGACCTTTCAGCGTCGAGCTCTGGCCGGACCTTCCGGCGGTTTGTTCCGCATGGGGCAAAGCACCATGATATCCCTAGGACCTAGGAAAGGAGAAGTGACATGGGAAAAGGGTCTCATGGGTAGCAGGGTAGCAACAATACATGCTACGAGAGCTGAGAGGATGTGCTTTGAGAGTTCTTTTGAGTCATGCCTAAGCCGAATGCTCTGAAAAACCACGGGGACCATGGATCCGGAGGGTCGCAGAACCAAAAAAGTCCATGTGACGACTAGGTCGCTTGGGCCCCAAGATGACATGTTAGCCTCACATGATTTCTGATTCACAGCACAGCTGGATCTTTCTTGGCATGTGATTTTTACTGACCGTTTGCCATGGCCAGCGATGCCTTGCATGTAATTCAAGACTTGCAGGTGAAGCTCCGCCGGACCTCTCAAGAGGTCCAGCGGCAAAAAGAGAATGTGGCTGAAGCGGAGGCTGCCCTGAGGCATCAAGCGCAGCGACATGAGGCAGCGAGGGCTTTGCATGAGGAGACCTTCCGTCGCCTGCAGGTGAGGGAAACAAAGTCAAACAAAAGATCAAACGGTGTATTATTCGTTCTTATTTTTGGTATTTTTTCTGTTTCACACAGGATAGTCGGATAGAGAGTGTTCTCAACTCCCTTTCACGACGCTGTCCAGATCACAACCCTTCCTGGTCGAATCTACCCTTCCTAAGGCTATTCTTTGGCATCTTGGTGATTGGAAGAGTTTCAGACCAAAATCACAGTGTCCCCCTTTTGCCGTTCGAACAACGGTTTTTCAACGACCTGGAACCAGGTGGCCTTCCAAGAGCGAGACGCCGAGTGTGCCACCACGGAGCACATGAGCCGTCAACTGGCCGCCGCCCATGGGGAGCTGCAGCGCCAGGAGCACCGGCGCCACGCGGAGCGCGTGGCCTTCGTGTCGCGCGAGGTGCACGCAGCGGCGGAGGCGGAGCTGAAGTTCCTCCAAGACGAGGTGGAGAAGGCCATGGAGAGGAAGGTGGTCTTGGAGCGAAGTTTGGAGGAAATGAAGGAGGCCAAGGTGAGACGTGATGAGCTCATCCGAGACAAGGCGGCGCAAGAAAGTGGGAAGGAACAGAAGGAGGCGATCTCCGAAGCGATCCGAAAAGGTAAAGCCTTGTCGAGCAGGGCGGTGGCTGAGGAACAGGCACGAGCTGTTCGAGCTCAGAGATCTGGTGCTCGACAGTTGCTCAAAGAGAAAGAATCGATTGAGGCCCAGCTGGAGGAGACCTATAAACAAAGTGCTTCCATTGAAGAACGCCTGGAAGGGCTACGTGAGCAAAACCGTAGGGCTGAATCTCAATTGATCCGCAACAAGGAACAATTTGAGAAAGAGAGGAAGCAAAAGCTCTCTGAGATGCGGAAGCAGTCTGCAGCCTTCCGAACCTTTGCTTCGTTGCTGGAAGAAGGATGTTTAGATCATCAAAGTCCTGAGAGGTGACCAAGGCCATGACCCGACGACCCGACCCTGCTTCTCGAATGTCTGCTTCTCGCACCTGCTTCTCGCCCGCCCGTCTCACCAGATGAAGTGTGTGAGAAGTGGGCTCGCATGCAGTGTACTTACTGTTTGTAGGAAGGCAGCTTCTCAAGACTCGGAGAAAGAAAAGAAACTCAATTCAAGATGTGATTTTTCTACTCTTTTCTCTTCTTGTGCCATGTGCCTTATCTTATTCTTGACACTTAGTCTCTGATGTCGTGCTGAGGTGGTTCCTGAGGAAGATGACGTCAAAACACCTGACGTCAAGTGTGAGGCAGAAGACGCCATCCTTCTGGTAGTTTGGAATCATTGTCCAGACTTACAGTATCCACGGAGGCTTACTCCATCCAATTTCACTGCAGGGCTAGGACTAAGGCCTCAAACAGGCCTAGGAGTGAATACACCCAAACCCACTGCTCTTGAGCGAATGAACTGAAGAGGTGCACGAGAAATCGGACACCAAGGAGGCGGGATTGAGAACCTCTGGGAGGGACCTTGCGGTCAGAGGGGTCAGCTGGCTTCAGCTTGATGGTTGGACCAGGTGAAGTTTGGATGTAGATGATGTAGTAGAGTGTGATGTTGTATCATCCAAACGACCAAGCAGGGGGATTGTTGATGTATTTCCCTGAAAGTGGCGGCATGCGCCCTGACTTTCATTAGGCTTCAAGCTGTCAGCTTGGCCCCTTCTCTCCATTTACGCCAAGTGCAGGTGCGGAAACGCTTCTCCTTGCCACTGCCGGCGAGAAGGACAATACCTTCAGATCTTGATGCCTAGCTGACCAGGTTCAGATGTGTGAACATGCACCATTCTTCCTTGGCTCCAAATTTTGTTCTCAGACGGAAGGGTTAAACGGGCTGGATTCTTCTAAAACGTTGTTTGCATGCAGGAAATCTGGCAGCGTGAACGGCACGGATTCGGAGGCACGAGCAAGTGGAGCAAGTGAGCATCATGGGAAAATACCAGATGGAGTTCCATCCTCCAACCACTTGGCAGACTGGTGAGACCACTTGGCGGGGGCAGACTTGTGAGCTGAGATCAGCTGCGATCTGATGGCATCCACCCTAAGAGAGCTCTGCGCCACTCTTCCAGGACAGCATGTCCTCCGCCGGTGTCAGCGATACCAGCCACAGCAGCCGAACGCGGAGTGGCTCGAGCGGATGTGGGGAATGTGGGCAGGTTCATGTGTCGAGGCTGACAGGTTCATGGTGAAGCAAGTTTTTTTGAGTGGCCCGTCCCAGCCCTGTGAGTTTTCTTGGGGAAACCGAGAGATACTGTAAACCCGCCATTTTTGGAAGCTGCAATCAGATGCTTCAAGGCTTCAAGTATTGACTGAGTCGACATTCCTTCGGTGGGGTAATTCTTGAAGTCTCCAAGGGAGTTTGTTCTGGGGCTTTTCCATGACGAAATAGAGCCGTTCCAATCTTGAAAGCAACTTGAGCATCTCCTGCTTCGGAACAGTCTGCACATCCTGTTCTCTTTCAGCCCCGCAATACTCAGGGAGCAGTGGCTCGGGCACAGCAGCCGCAGACTGAGGATCCAGTTCTGACTTGCTCTTTTACCCGACACCAGAGCACGAGTCAGCCTGATGTTGTTCTTGGAATTTTGACGTCGATAGTATTGGCCTTGGAGAACTTCCAACTCCTTCAGGCGACTTCAACCATCGTTGGCCTTTTACTATTGTTTGGTTGAAGCCATAGAGGGGATACCCTTTAAGTGTACCACGAATGGGTGACCTTGGTATATGGATGGTGACCGTGCTATGAAACCGACCCCTCCGAAACTCTCAGGGTCGGACGTCAAGCGACGAAGATGCCAACTCCTTCAGGCCTTAGATGCCATTTTCGAGCGAGCACGTGCCAGTGCCGTGCCCGAAGGCGGAGCTAACTGGGGCCGTGGGTGCGCTTCTTTCTCCGGGTGGGCGGTGTTTTTTTTTTTCCTCGTCCTTTCCGGAGAACAGCATTCAGTACTTCAGGACTTGGCCAAGTCGACATGAATTTTGGTTTCAACGGTAGTTCCGCTCCCTCTCCCTCTCTCTAGACTCAAGATCCCCCTGCAATTCGCAACATTGAAACGCTACATCGAAACGCACAGTTGTCGCTCGATTGAAGGTGTACGGTGAGATTTTGCGGGTTCCAATCCCCTTTTCATGTTTGACACGTAGACCATCGGCCTGTTTCAGGTGCTTCGGCTGGGATGGAACACAGACTCGAAGTGTTTCAACACGCCTTACATTCCTTAAAACTAAAATCAGAAATGGCCCCTTCCTTCCGCCCGTTGCATTTTGAACATCTGCTGGGTGATCTTCACGTTTGGCTGTTTGGGATGGTGGTCTCAATTCGCAAGCGCCCAGGCTCGTTGTCCACCACGGCCTCCTCCAGGGGCTCCAGTCCACGCCTGACCTCAGGTGAAGACCTGAGGAGTGTTAAACACGCCATTGAATGGGTGATTTCAAGACCAGCTGAAGTTAGAGTTCATTTCATTTCATTTCAATTCATTTCATATTTCATTTCATTTCATTTCACTAGAACTTACTGGTGAAAACCAGTAAGTCTCTCCAGTGAACACCGTGCGTTTCACCAGCAGGTTTGGGTTTCATGGGTCTTCATCGCTCTCTCTGGATTTCCCCGATGTGGACTTGGGAGCAGAATGTGGACGTCAGGCTCTGACGTCTGAAGGATTTGTATTTCCCGTTGCCATGCTGTTGGAGGTCGATTCTGCGTCGACTCCTATCATCCACATCCACATGGGTAGCTCAAAACCCTCACTTTCTGCAGCCAGCCAAAGGCTTGCATGGGATTTTGGCGGCCTCAATCAACCCGTCAGGGAGGATTTCCCTTGGGTGCAAGCTTTTTGTATTCTTCTCAATACTTGAGGGTTTAGCATGGGGAAGCGGATACTTGCCACTTGTAACTGGGGTTATTGGATCGAACCAGTCCATGTTGTGACCAGACATTGGGATTGTTCGCTCCACAAAGAGTTTTACGAGAGGCAAGCAATTCATAGTGGATGTAACAGCGCCAGGTGAGTTTTGCAGAGCATTTTGCTCTGCTTGTCTCCACTTCTCTCTTATACATCGTTTCTATCTTTCTCTTTCATGCGCTTTCTACTTATCTCTACTTATTTGTTTTTTGTTTACTACTTCTCTTGGCCTTCCTGCCACTTACTTTCCTATCGCTTCTCTATCTACTTCCCCTATTCAGCCTGACTTGGCTCTACTTGTCTTTACCTCTCTCTCTCTCTCTATCTCTCTCTCTCTACTTTTCTCCTCCCTCACTCTCTCTCTCTCTCTACCTTCTTTCAGCTTTTGAGTGCTCTCGCTGCTTTTCTCTAGGCTTCTCTCTACTAGTTACTAGTTGACGTAACATAGCCATTCCAGTGGGGAAGTACGAACGTCCTGCAAAAATGTTCCTCCAAGCCGGAGGAACCACGCGGGGACCTCTCCTGTCGCGCCTCGTTTCGTGTCCACAACACGCCATGGTTCCCTTCTTCCAAAAGGTCTTGGGGAGGTCTCCCCATTTAAAGAGTGTGGCTCTCCCAGGTGCAATCGAGTCGCCCAAACCGAGCTTGGCGGGAGCAGCTTGGGTGCCTCGGCACTCGTGGGCACTCTCTTCTTTTGGGGGGGTTGCGTTCTTTGGAGTGCTTGGAAGGCCCGGTCCCGTAATAAGAACCACCTTGATTGACGAGCGGAAGATGGTGATTGTTGAAGACCTTTCCATTGACGGTTTTTTTGGTTGACGTCTCAAGTGTTTTCTTTCACATCTGCAGTGGTCGGCCCACCGGGCCCACCGGTGCTTTGGATACGGGAGCCTCATGGTTCTCTTCCCACTGGGAAACACACCATTTTTTCATTGCAATGCGAACTACTGAGGTTGATCCCAGTGAACTGCAGGTGGTCGGTTGCTGTCGAGTTTCGACTCTGAGCATCGCCGCGAGGTACTGATGCAGTTGTGTAAGCAAGAGCCCTCCATCGAGGATCGAGCAAGCAGTCTTGGCAGGTTGTGGAAGCTTTGTGCTTTTTTCCTGTTGCTTGCAGAGAAGCTCAATCATTAGGGTGTTTAAGCCTTCAGTTGGTACATTTTCCACTTGCCCCTTTTCACTGGGCAATCGTGTTTTATCTAGCCAGGTCAGATTTGTTGGTGCCAAGACCGCTCTGATTGGCCGTAGTGCTTGTCCTGTCAGATTCAATTGTGTGGCCTTCTAGCTGAAGTGTAGCAGATATATTTGGCACCCAACCAGAAAAAACAAAGCTCACTTTTCAGTGATATCAGCCAGTCAGAAATTTGAGACCCATGGAGTCACTACAACCAACCAGGAAGCAGCAGAGACCCAGGCACGAGAGATGGGATGCACGTGAGATGCGGAAGTCTTTGTGTCTAGATGATGGAGCTTCTTTTGGCTTTCCGATGTGGGTTCGGATGGGGTGGTGGGCTGCTGCTGGCCCCCTCCGAGTGCGAGTGTCTTCTGTGGGTGGAGTGGGTGGTGTCGAGGTGGTGGCGACCCGGCACACTTCGAGAAGTTCGTTGATCTCCACAGAGGCGTTGGGACTTTTTCTGTGGGATGCATGGAGGGAGGGCCAATAGGGACCCTGTGTGACATGCTTTCAGAATCTGCATGAAAACGCCCTCTTGGAGCTGGCGGTTTTTGTTTGCAAACCACTCTACAAGATGTAGACCTAGACCTACTGTAGGTCTTCATGGTCTTCCGTTGAGAGATGTTTTGGACATGATCGCGGCGATCGAGTGCCAAGGCCTTCAAGTTCTGCTTCCCGCAGGAGTGGTCCGTAGCGGTCCGATGGAAAAGCCGACGGTGAGCACGCAGCGCTTTTTTGCAAGTTGGTGAAGAGGGTGTTGGTTTCTTTGTGACGAATGTGCATATTTAAGTGTGAGTGTCATTCAGTGTCGGCATTGAGGGTTGTTCATAGTTTGGATGCTGTGGGCACGTAGCTAAAGAGTTTTTAGTCATCGTTTCTCTGAATGGAAGCCCAATGTCACTTACAGTAGTATCTCTAAGAACTGATGTGGGATTTCAATCAAGCAGAATGGGGCACTGTTACCGAGCAGTATACTCAGCGAATGAGCTTGGATTGCATTTTTGTTGGCGATTGCTGCTAGGAAGAATATGGTCATTCTTGCTCCGCGTGTCAGACACGTGACGGTCTTCATTCCAAAATCTTTCCCTCAAACTAACATACCACCTGAGGGAAAAGCAAAGCTTAGAAGGTTTTCCACCTGTAAAACCACCTAAGGTGTCAGCGGAAAAGCTTCCGACCTTCTAATTCTCCTGCCTGCCGACAGATGGGCCGGACGAATCCTTTGGACATGCGATTCTATGATTCTATACGGTGGCCCAACGATGGATTTCTGCTTGGCAGGACATTTGTGGTGTTCCACTGGAACCAAAGTCTACCATCAAGGAGGGGCAGTCGATCGTCTGAGAGTCAGTCTACCATCGTTGGGTTCCCACGAGTCGTCGTGGCATCGAGTCGTTTGAGGGTTCTACTGACCGAAGTGGTTGACATCATTCTTTTTTTGGTCTCAGTAAAATACCAAGTGGTTCTTCCAGACAGTTGTTTGTGGGTTGTGCTCTTCCAATAGACATGGCAAAAGTTATGAATCTAAGCCAATCCACATGGCAAACCCTCCAGAATTCGTGTCGATTTGTTCCCAGCTGATCGAACTGTTAGGTTTTAGCCATGGGCCATGGGCCATGGGGTTGACGTATTTCCTCGCTTGGTTCTGAGCAAGGGCAAAGTTGGGTTGAACCTTTTTAAGTTTCTTGGGATCCAGCCAACCAGGCGAAATGAAATAAGATGAGTTCAATCGTGTGCCATCCTTGTTGTCACTAGCCCTGTGTCGACCCTTGTTGTCGCAGACGGAGGAGCCTGATCGATGGAAGCGTGGACGTCGGAAGAGAGCTGCTTGAGGCACGGTATCCGTGGAGAACACCAGAAGGGCACCGAAGGCCAGGTCTTCTGAAGTCCTTCTTCAATTCAGGACTGTTTACACTGAAGATGCTGAGCAACTGAGGTTGACCATTGGCATTTTCCTGGTCAGATGAATTCCGTCTTCACATGTTTGTTTGTCCTTTTTAGGAAAGGAGGCCTGAGGCTAAACCGGTCGCAAAGACGGGTCTTAAGACTGGTCGCTTCACCGAGAAGAATCGCTGGCTGTTTCTTTTTTTTTGCAGTATTTGCAAACTCTTTTTGCTCATAGGATGGAGGAGTACTAGACAAAGGCTTACTGCAATATGGACAAACAATACATAACGGGATTGATCACGTTGTTTGCCGTTGTAGCATGCATGTGAATTCTCGAACGACCCAAGCTTGATGCTCAAAGAGGTAGGGGCAGGCTGCAGGTGGGTGAGATTACGGTGATCGTCAGTTATCCTCCACTGTTAATGTTCGATGCCCACGTGCTCACACCAATGGCTACACAACAATGGCTGCACAACTCAGGCTCATTGCCTGAAGGTGTGCATGTAAAGCTTGTGTACTGTTTGTCTCATGAAGTTTCTTGCTGAGGCCACTGGGAGCAAACCTGTAGTCCACCAGCAGTCATAGGCAATGCCAGGGTTGGCACAGCAGGACCAAGTCCTTGACAGCTGCGCATTTTTCTTTAACTCAGTGCCGCGGCTACAGGAGTAAGATGAACAGTCATGATGCCCGACATGGCAGAAAGACCCGGCTAGACCGCCCTGAACTGCAGCACCTCTTGTAGCACTACGGGGATCTTCTCGGTCTTCCCCAAACACCGACTTGAGTTGACATTGTCGCTTTGCACTGGCGGCTTTGCCGACGACTTCGTGCTGCCCATGGAAGATCCCCGGCCGGAGAGGTATGCCTTGGTGATTTGCGATGCATCCCGGTGCACCAGATACAGATGCTGCTGGGGGGGATGCCCACACGCTGGTTGGGTTCATTCCGCCTGTGAAATCAATTCTTTCCTACCAGCGCATGTTGATGTACAGCACATGTTGATGCGACAAGATGGGAGTCGAGAAGGCTCATGCAACATTGGGGTTCAGGCTTGAAACCCATGGGAGTGGATGAAATACCATGCAATACCCAGTTCCACACGGTGCCCAGATACGCGTTTTCACCAAGGCACAGCCAGATCTGCTGAGTTCTCTCACAGAGGCCACTGGAACACCGCTAGTGTCGCAGGAATCGAGGATTGGGTCGACCCCCCCCAGCGTTTGGGGGTTGATATATTGTCCTTGGGAACCATCCGCGACGATCTTCCTGAAGTTTGTGTGATAGATCATTGAGCTAAATCAGCTCATTGAGGTGCTCCCAGCTTCTTGTTACTAGTAGTAAGGCCAGGAGCCCCTAGTAGCGTCCTTGCCCCTAGTAGCGATGCCAGGAGCGACAAAGGTTGGGATAGATAGATCACCAGCCGATCACCAGCGCCTCCAGGAGCAGCGTGTTTCGCTCCTGCAGCACCTTCATGAGCTGCTTGAGGTGATGGGATTGGGCGAGTCGATTGAGCTGCTGGGTTCGTGGTTCCCGAGAAAAAGCACTCAGAGCTGGTTCGTTGTTCCCAGCTTTGGTTGCAAATCTTCAGTAAAACTTGTTGAACAACCCCAAATCATCCCCAAGTTAGCTGTTCGATCTGCCCACCATGGATCAGGGCGCTCGACGGCAGAAATGGCTCATCATATTTACTGGCTTGCGCTTCCAATCCGGCTATGTGTCATGGCAGCAGAGAAAAAGACGCTAGAGTGATCTCTAGATGTATTTTCACTCCATGTAATATGTATACTTTGTACCTTGCACATAGTAGGATGTCATGTCACCTTGACTTCGCAGCTCGCGGCCCAAAACAGGAGTTGCAGCTTAACGGCTGTTTCTATAGGTTATCAGCCGTAGTGCTCTAACCGCAGCCATGGACGCTCTTGCTATTCCTGGGAACGGTGCATCATCGGTAGCTGTTCCAGCCGGTCTCATGACTGAGCCCACAGTGGATCTAGATGACCCCATGGGTTCAGCTCCTGTCACAGCTTACTTTCAGTTTGTGCAGCAAAACATTCAACAAGTGTACAACGGAAATGAAGATGCTATTATTGCTGAGGCAGAGAGAAGGCACAAAGAGATAATGGGACAATGGTTGGAAATGGTAAAAACCAAGTTTCGTCAAGCAATCGATGAAGTAGCGAGCAAGCATCATGAGGAACTCAGTTCGGTAAGGCAGCAAGCTCAATCTAGCTACAACCAAGTGCAAGGGGAACTTAGCGCTGCAAAGGCGCGGATCCTAAAGCTAGAGAGTGAAAGGTCCATCGAGGCTGAAGCCAGAAAAGCAGAACTGGACTCCTTGCGCATCCAGCTCATGCACGATTGTCAGCAAACTGTCACTGCCATCACCAGCAGTGCCGAGCAAGGTGTGGCAACGCTTCGTGCAGAGTTTGATGAGCGGGAAACTCAGCTTCGACGTGAGCTACGCGACGCAGAAAATGAAAACTATAGCCTGCAGCAAATGCTCGATGACCTTAAAGCCAAAGTGCCTGCTGAACCCGAGCTAGAGTACCGTCCAACAAGTGTCATGAACACGCCAGTGTCTACCCCTAGGCATGATGACACTAGGAAGAAAAATCCTCTGGAGACCATTGCAGCAGAGGCTACTGCACGTTTGAGTGGCCTGTTCGCACCCAAAGCGCCGACGGCCACCATCATTGGTGATGCCCCACCAGGGGCAGCTGCTCCTATCAAGCCTGTGCTTCCAGTTCATGGAGGTACAGCAGCGGATGGGGGCAAAACACCAACACATATGTTCCATAGCCCTGCACCTTCAATTCGCGAACCCCATAAGCCAGCGTCATCAGGTGCTATCACCTCTGAGCAGGTGATCGAATTGGTCAAGTCACTCACTCAAAGAGAGTCAGATGAGAAGCCAAAGGTAAAGGAGGCAGATCACATCAAGTTGAATGATATGCCAACCCCCGAAACCTATCGGCAATGGAAACATCATGTGAGGGACGAAATCAAGTCATGTTCTGACAAACCAGATGCAGCCTGGGACTGGTTAATGGAGGTTTACAACACTGTCGATGAGAGGAAAGTTCTGGAAGAGCGGTTGTCTAACCCTGGGAAGTTCACAACGTTGGATACCAAGTTGGCAGCTGCGCTGACCAGAAGTGCAAAGGGTGATCTAGCAAACCGGATCATCAATTACAAAGAAGAGAAGGCAAAGCTAGGCATCCAGGTTCGAGGTAGGATGATTCTTCTCATGTTCGACGACTATCTCAAGACCTCAGAAGAAGCGGGTAGCCTTTACAGGGTTGAAGATCTCCTCAATGTGATAAAGGTAGGCGATACTGTAGCAGACTTGAAGCGTTTCATCAACCGCTGGGACGCTACCATCGCTGGTATGCCCGAACCACCGCACGAAAACGTGCTTCGAGACATCCTTTTGAGGCAGATCCGCACTAGCACAATCCTAAGGTACGACATTGACCTTTTCGATCGTGCAAAAGAGGGTGACCATCATCGGTCTTACAAGTTTCTACTGCAGAGCATCAAGGATCTGATAGATCGGGAACGCCTTCGTGAGAATCGATCGCGTATCGCGGAGCGAAATCGGCTCAAGCCAGGTGATCGACATGAGAAGAACGCCGCCCCTACTGTTGATCCTCGGCGAAAGCGTTCGCCATCGCGCGGACGATCCACTACTCGGGAGAAGGGTGTTTGTTGGGCCTTTTTGGAGGGAAAGTGTGCAAAAGGGAAAGATTGCAAGTTCAAGCATGAAAAGCCCAAGCGTGATCCTTCCAAGAAGCGCCAACCATCCTGGGAGCGGAATGAGTCGAGGGACAAAAGCACAGATAAGGAGAAGAAGCGGATGACTAAGGAAGAGATGGCGAAGACCCCATGCAGGTACGATCAACAAGGTACATGCAGAAGAGGAGACAAGTGCTTTTTCAAACATGGTGAAAAGGCAGCGCCGGCTCCGAAAACGAAGCCTAGAAAGGACTCCCCCAAGCCAAAGGCAAAAGGAGATACCAAGAAGGCTGCCATTTGCCTGAGCAATCGGTTTGCATGTCTTGCGACTGGTGTGCCCGGACGATCATGTCTCAAGAAGTCCTGTCTTTCTCCATCAAGAAAGAGGTCCAAGTCGTCTGTCCGAAGAACCACATTTGTTATGAAACCTGAAATTCGCACAATCCCTGCTCGGGGGGAACACTGCAAGATGGTCAAGCGTGAGCGCAAGTACAGTGTGCATTTTGCCACGAGCGATCGCGTGCCCAAGAGCGACCCAAAGGCAGCCCACATGGCCAAAGTAAAAGCTAGGCAGTTGGCTGAAGTTGTCCGAAGCTTTGACAGCGCAACAGTGCCCTCATGTCGTTTTCTGTGCACAGAATCATCGCTTACTTGTCGTGAGTGTCGAAGCTTGATCAAGTTGAAAACATGTCCTACTACCATCCCAACTGTAGTCGCTGGTCCAGCACCAAGGGAAGGCAGGTTCTCGTGGCTCGTCGATTCTGGGAGTGAGCAAGACCTCCTCAGCAGAAAAGTCATGGAAGCTGCTGGCGCGGAGAACCCAAGACGGGCTCCTCACACCATCAGTCTGATTACTGCAAATGGGTCGACTGAAGCCAGCGAGGTAGCTGATGTCAAGATGAAGCAGCTACTTGAGCCTTGTACGCCGTATTTGCTGGATGAATGCCCTGCTGTGCTCTCAGTTGGCATCAAATGCCTTGACCAAGGGTATAGTTTCGTGTGGCCAGCAAACGGTACACCAATCCTTGTGCGACCAGATGAGAAAATCGTTCAACTTCGCGTTGACGGTCATGTCCCAGTCCTCGACTCCGAGTGCAAAGTCTTCGGGAAGGGCAAGTTCAAGAAGGACAAGCCTTTGAAGAAGCTGTTTGCAATGCCGGGAGCAATCTCGAGCCCGTCGGATAAGAAAGAGGATGAGGGCATTGACGAGG